GAGTTGACGTCCACCCGTCTTAAAGCTGCCCCGGTTGAGAAACACTGTTCCAAGCAACGCAAAGGAACTGGAATTTGATCAGGCTGTTCAACCCAACATCACGCTGAAGCAGAGATAAAGACATTGCCAGTGTGTCACTGTCCCAGGCTGCACCCAGTCCCTCTTTTTCTGAATTGCCACCCTTGGCAGGGGATTCGCACCCTCTGCACGTCTCGCGGGTCATTTCCTCCTCTCTTCCCTGTTTACCCTTCCACCCTACCTCCATCTCTGGGTCTATAAAAGCTGATAGAAAATATCGTATGGCACATACACGCCCCGACAGTATATCCCTTCCTTGCAGATTAATATTGCACGTATGCCGGGGGGGGGGAATGGTGAATGTACAAGAGGCCTTTGGGGCAACCGGTTGGCCGGCTGGTCATCCAGAAATGGGCACGAAAAAGGGTCTTGAGTTGGCAGCGGTGGCTGAGAAATCGGGGAGGGGGCAGGAACGCCACCAGATTTGGAGGGCACCAGATTGTTTTGCACACATCCTTGCAATCCAGCTGCCTGAAACACCGGGAGTTTACATCCCACTCAGTTTGATCAGGGCCATCCTGTCTGACGAGTCAGAAGCCAGGCTGAATATTCATTTGGTGCATGGCTTCTAGGGAGGCTATACTGATAACTGACATTAAAATCAGTGGCATTACCATTCCTCTCTTTCACCACCATATTATACATACATATATACATACATACGTACATATACACACATACATAATCCCATTTGTAGAGCCGCCTCTCTCCCTGTCACCTTGCAAAGATTCTTCCTGCTACAATCCCGTAACTGCCGGGCTGCACGCAACAGGGAGATTACATTCAAGGAGGCAGGAGAAAAACAGGCTGATCTAGAGTCCTAATCCTAAATCCACCAACGGCCTGCAACAGCCCCGAGCCGGGAATGACAGCCCGGCGAGGCTCCTGAGCCTTCCTTTAGGAGCGGCGCAGCAGGCTGCAAAAGCAACGGCGGCAGGGGAGAGCAAGCAGGCGTGCCCTGTTGAGTTTCTGCCTGTCATGCAGAGAAATGGCCGGGCAGGACAGGGTGAAAAAGCATGCAGAAAAAGGAGACGGCTCCCCCCACGCCCCCAGCACAATACTTACAGGGTTCCTCGGTCCAACGCGACGCCCCGACACCCCGTGAAAAAAGAAGGCGCCTCCCTTAAAAGTCCAGGCTTAAATCCTCGAGGTCCGCGCGCTCGGGAGATGGAACGTTCAGCACTTTCTGCCCCGCGCCGCAGCCAATGAGCGCCCTCGCCTCGCCGCCGGAGGCGTCGACCGCGGCGCGCTACAGCCAATCGGCAGAAAGCAAGCCTTTCGCGCGCTCTTGGCCCGGGGCACCGCGCGCTTTTGCAACGGGATGCGCGGGTCGCGCAAGGCAACTAGGCGCGCCGCGCGCGGAGAGTTGAACTTCACTTTTTCTGCCGAGCGTGCAATCCAAAGAGAGGTCAGAGGGGAAAGGTGTCTGGCTCTGTTCATTACGGTTTTGAGAGTTTTAAAATCCAGCTCTTTGGCGGAATTAGGCTGCTCCCCCTTGCTCCCCTTCCCAAAAGGGTCCTCTTAGATCTGGCTGCAAATTAGTACAGTAATTAAAAAATTAAAAAAAAATAAGAGGTGAGCTGTTGGAGCAGAAAAGCTGTGTTTCTCACGCACGCTAAGCCCTGCTC